ACATGTACCCTCTGTTTCAAAAATAAAAGTCAAATTTTTAAAACCCCAGAAAGCAAAAATACACTTTTAAAACAAAATTTATACATGTACATGATACTATAAAAAGAAATCAAATGATACCAAAAAGTATAAAATAACCTCCCTTCTATACTAGATTATCATAAACACTGTTAAGATTTTGTATATTCTTCAAAAAACTTTCTATGCATATGAAAACAAATGTTAATATAAACCAGCTTTCAAAACTTAGGAGTCCATAAAGCTGTTTTATATACTCTGCCCTTTTCACTCAATAATGTACTATGGAAACTCTTCCATGCTAACTCAGACCTAATCATGTTTAATGACTATGTATTCCATTGTATAGATACACTATAACAGTCTTACAATTGCTATATGCTAAGATTGGAAACTACATTATGTGTACTAACACAGATTACCCCCAACAAGCTAAAGAATGAAAGGCTAAGATGGAGCACCTATCCAATATGAGCAAGCAAATGAATATGAACTTGTGACTACCAATGTTAAATGGAAAAATTAAGTAATGTACTACATTCCACTTACTGACATGAAACATTTTGGATTATGTTATTTCAGATCTCACAGCTTTGCTGGAATCCTTAAATGTAAATTGTGGCATTTCTTCTGCACCTACCTCCCCTTTATTCTTCCAGGAGAGCTTGGATTTGAGCTGCTACTTGCATTGCTTACAGTTTCCATTCGTGATGATTTGGTCTGAGATTGTTTGCCTGCTGATGAAAGTGGCTTATTAACAGCTCCCAGAACATTGGTTGTTTTAGGCTGAAATGAGAAATGCACATCTCTTTTTATTTGGTTAAAGCCAAAAGAAAGCTACATGTAAAGAACCATAAATAACATCTCTGTCAAAGTATTTACTTACAAATCATGAAAAATGTGTCTACCTTAAGCAAAATAAGTATAAACTGAATATCACCTTAACAAATTAAAAACTATACAGATAGCATAACAGTAGAATTTCTTAGTTATTTGGAGAAAATGGCTTACACAGAAAACAAATGAAATGAATAATCAACAATAAAAATAGATAATTAGACTTGCCACAGAAAGACATAAGAATATGCTTTTATATTTTTAGACTTTTCATCTTGACATTAGCCTAAGAAGTCTAAGAATCAGGTCTCGCCGGACTTTATTACAAGCTAAAAAATAAGTTTGTGTATTTCAGCTTGCATATATCTAGTAAATATAATTATTTCTTACTAGCAAATGGAATATAATTAATACTTATATTTCCTAGTTTGAATATACAAATTTTTGAAGAAATACAAAATAACACACTTCTGCCAATAACCACACTAAAATAAGCTACCACATAAAAATTAAAATGATTCTCCAAACATACTTTTCCAGGAGTGAAAAATGACTTCATTTCAGGAGGCAGATAATTTTTGGTGTTACTGAAATTCTACAAGCAAGAGAAAAAGAAGTAGTCAGTGAATATTAAAACATTATGTATGAGGTGGTTCAAAAGCCAACAAAGGAAAGAACAGTTTTTAAATTTAAACTAAATTATCATTTGAAACACAAAATTTCAGTCACTGATTTTAACTACTGTAATAAGCTTAAACTAACCTCATGCCAACTCTAATATTAACAAAACCTATTTGAGCTCTAACATGTTAGAGCTCTAAGAGTGCATCAGAAAACACATGCTTCTTTTATAACACACTTCAGGGGAAAGACCACATTATACTCCTGTTACTTGGCTCAAACCAGCATGACAGCACTTTTAGTTACTGAGCAATCCTACAGGACTGTTCCAAATCTCTATATACTGGTAAGGTCTTAACTGACATTTTGATTTAAAAGCAAAAAGAGGAGAGTGGTCATTTCCAGACTCTGTTACTCAATATGCTCAGCTAAATTAGGAGGAATTAAATAAATAAATAAATAATGAAGGATTAAGAGGGATTGTGAAAAATACTTTTTACATCTCATATCACACTTGAGTTTTTTTGGAGAGTAGGAATAATACTCCTGTAGTATTCCCAGGGTCTTTGGCATGTTCTAGTGTCTATTCTCTGCTTGTTTCCTCAAACCAATGATAATCCCAATAAAGGGCTTTTAACTTCAGACTGTATATCAGCACTCTCCTTCCCATTTTGAAAAATGGCCATTAATTCACAAATTCACCTGCTTTGATCACATTTCTGCCTATGCTCTATGACTGTCTTAAAACTGAACATAAACACTAGACCATCCTAATATCTGAACCTTAAGTGTGTCCTCCAGTTTGACTCATATTCTAGTTCTGATCTTAAATCACATTCTTAAGACTCACAACAGGGCTGGGCGCGGTGGCTCAAGCCTGTAATCCCAGCACTTTGGGAGGCTGAGGCAGGTGGATCACGAGGTCAAGAGATCGAGACCATCCTGGTCAACATGGTGAAATCCCGTCTCTACTAAAAATACAAAAAATCAGCTGGGCATGGTAGCATGTGCCTGTAATCCCAGCTACTCAGGAGGCTGAGGCAGGAGAATTGCCTGAACCCAGGAGGCAGAGGTTGCGGTGAGCCGAGATCGCATCATTGCACTCCAGCCAGGGTAACAAGAGTGAAACTCCATCTCAAAAAAAAAAAGACTCACAACAATCTTTCCATGATCCTTCCTGGTCTTCCTACTACAACCCAGCGCTGAGAATACATTTTATTTCAACTTACACAAACAAATTGTAAAGTAACTACCTTGTCAGGTTGAGTGAAAAAACGAGCTGGTAGTACTGGGTCTTTAGGAGATTCCAAACTGTATGTGGTACTCTTTGACATGATGATATTCATGGCAACATCACACACGGTGTACAATTTCTGCAATAGTATTTTTTTAAAAAAAAACAGATACTTAAGATGGCAATCTAGACTCTGTAAACTAGGAATAATTTTAGAACACGAATCCAGTCTAAACAGTAAACTAATCAAAGCAATAGTCTGTGTAAGCATTTTAGCTTACACTATTGGTTTTGCTCATTTACTAGTAATAAAATTGCTGCTAACTCTATGTTAGTAATTTTAATTTCTAATTACTAATAGAAAAATCTGATGCTGTCTATAAATACTACAGAAGTTTCATACCTTACACCTATATTTGAATATCAACATGGAACCATAATTATTTACAAAGAATATTACATACTTCATTCATTTTTGCATCATCTGGTCCTTGGGCATCTTTTGTTTGTTTAATATTTTCTACCATCTTTCTGATAAATGCGTGACTGTTATTTTCATTTTTCGCCATTAATATTTCCAGAACAAACCAAAGACATCTAAAAATAAAGGGGGGGGAAGGGTGGAGAAATACAGAAGAAAATCACACTTTGCTAAATATAGACATGATAATTCTAAATATAACAAACTTAGATTATAACACCAAGAAGAAAAAAAAAACAGTTACAAACTAGCAGGGAAAAAGAATATGTCACACGTATATATAACAGGTCAACAATGCAGACATGAGCTTATAAGATCTCACTAGATTTCCAAGGAGGCAGGTTAAAAAAGAAACATATATGGTAGAAAGGATGAAGTCATCTTAACCCCAGCTATGACAGGGAGTTAAAGACTGTCAAAGGAATAGTTGGGCCATGGATCAAGTGAGACCTCGGATACTTAAGACTGACTACAGTTCTGATGGTAAGCCTTCAAGAGAATATAACCTTCTTATTAAATGTAAACAATTAAGAATATTCATTAATAGAGAGGACAAGGTCATGACTGACAACTATAAGCACTGTCTTTGCTTAAAAAGAGAAAATTAAAAGAAAGTTTCAGTAGCTCAGTTTTAAAGTTAATTACATAAAACTCTATTCAATAAAAAATGAAAAGTGCTTTGTCTATGTACTACACAGAGAGAAAAGAACAAAGTTATAGGTGATACACAGAGGAGAAAAGTAACGGGAGAAGGAAGAGAGAAATGTGAAGCAAGGGATTATTCTAGAACAGAAAAAAATAACCTTTAAAAACTTAGGTATAGGATACATTCTTCTGACGTGGCTCCCTGATAGGATGGAGTTCATGCATGGCTACATTGGGGCAACTTAGAAATACAATCACAGGTGTCTAGTAAATCCCAAAGGATGTTTTATATATTTTTAAAAACCCAATGTTCTCAGAGAGAGGGGACTAGAAGTTTTCAACAGTTATAATCACTCTAACAACAGAACTAATTCTGACAGAACCAATTTCTTTTTTTTTTTTACTAGAGACGGAGTTGGTGCGCTGCCACCCAGGCTGGAGTGCAGTGGCATGATCTCAGCTCACTGCCAACCTCTGCTGCCCAGGTTCAAGCAATTCTCTTGCCTTAGCCTCCTGAGTAGCTGGGACTACAGGTGTGCACCACCACATCCAACTTATTTTTTTATATTTTTACTAGAGACAGGATTTTGCCATGGTGGCCAGGCTGTTCTCTAACTCCTGACATCAGGTGATCCACCCACCTTGGCCTCCTAAAGTGCTGGGATTACAGGTGTGAGCCACCATGCCTGGCAGAACTAATTTCTTATTTTTTAAAAAAAAGGAAACTGCAGTGGGAAAAAAGGGCATCTTTTCTATTGCCATGGGAATTTATTAGTAACTTGATTTTACTCTCCTAAGGCTTCTCAAATTATTTAACTATAAAATATTTCTATGAATTAAGACATTAAGAATTATTTTATTATTACAGGAAACTAAAGGCATCATAAACTAGCTGATTCGAAACCACAACAGTAATCTTTTATTGTAACTGAGAGAGGATCAGGGTCTCGAGCTTGCTTGCTTATTCATTTATTTATTTGTTTGTTTGTTTGTCAGTTGAAACATACAATTTTATTGATGATACACAAATGAAGTCTTTGGTGGATAAATTCAAATCAAAACAAATAATAGAAAAGTAGGCCATTCATAATGAACAGGTTTACTGTCAATTCAGAGGAACCAGCAAAAATATTTCCATCCAAGCAGCACAATTAAAGTCACAAGTTTTCAGTACAAGAGGTCTATTTTTTTGGTATTTATAAAATGGTTCAGGTTAAAGCTGGTGACTGTCACAGACAACATTATTTAAAACTGGCAGCTGAAAGGATTCCTTTAGTATACAAGCAAGTGGAAAAGCAGTAACTTTCAATTTTCAATGCTTCCAGACTGCAAAACCAAGAAATTTCTTGAAGTCTTTTGACAGTACATAACCAATCAGAATTTGTTCACTAGCTTTATAACTTTCACTTTCACTAAGCGGTCATGGTGATTTGCTAAGGCTCTAATTTTCTTAACACACACTCCAGATGCAGTGCATAAGTAAAATAGGGAACCTTTATTGAATTCTCTACAGTTAAACACTTCTGCTCTGAGATTGTCATAAATGATCTCAAATAGAGTAAGGGCATTAATAAGGATTTCTGATTTTACATAAGAATTATAGAGGGAACTAAATGAGGCTGGCACTTGGGTACTGAGCAGTTTTTTCAACCTATCTGGATTTTCAGCAAAATTTGAGAGTATTTCCAAAATCTCAACCTTGATTTTTCCACCTCCCTGAGATAACAAACGGAAAAAGTTTGCAATGGAATTGACAAGCAGGTGCTGGTAGTCATTAGTAATAGTCATGTTTGTTAGAAATTTTAGTCCAACTACTTGAACTGCTGAGTTCAGGTTAGAGGCCATGATATCATCCATCACTTTATTCATGTACACCTGAAGCCGGCCCTGATTTTCATAATTCTCACTCAGGTTATTCATGGCCATTAAGGCTTTTTCCTTAATGTGGGGATCAGTTTTGTTAATCATGTTTGCAATAATTGGGAGGCCTCCCAGTTTGCGGATTGTCTCTTGATTGCAAGAATAATTGGCATTGTTGCTCAGAGTGAGCAAAGCGACCTGCTGGATGAAAGGATCATCAGATTTCTGAAGCAAGGCAAGGACCTTCCTGAGATCGTGGACACCCAGAATCTCATCAATTTCATAAAGAAAGGGGCGCTTCTGCACGGTAACGGGTCTTTTTCCCCTTCCTCTGTGCTGAATCTCAGGCTCAGAGTCTGAATCTGACTCTGTGTCAGTCCACCCAGACTCCCCTTCCTCAGAATCACGGACCTCTGCCAGGAAAGCCTTTCCACCATTAGCAGAGGCTGCAGCAGTTGCTGTAGCCCCATCTCCAGGACGGAAGCCCATCCCCAATTCGTCTACTTCAACCTTGCTTTTCTTGCCCTTGCCCTTGCCCCCATTCTGGGACCTGGCCTCGGCTCCACCTTTGGGTACAGCTCCAGTCGCTGATGTGGCTTTAGGTATAGACCCCGTGTGAGCCCCAGGGGTTGCTTTCTTGGCAGCAGTTGTTCCAGGAACTGCGGCTGCTCTAGGAGAACCAGAAGTTCCAGGAGCCTCTGCAGCCCCAGAAGGCGCTGGGGGCACAGGAGCCCCAGCTGCCTTAGTAGGCGATGCCACCCTGGGAGCTTCAGCTACTTTGGTAGGTGCTGCTACCCCAGGACCCTCAGTCACCTCAGTGGGTGCTGCTGCCTTGGTAGGTACCACTGTCCCAGGAGGCACTGCTGCCCTGGGAGTCTCCACTTCTATGGGGGCTTCTGCCACTTTGGGAGGCCCTGCCAGCTGCAGGGGCTTCTGCAGCTGCAAGGGCCTCTGTCACCATGGGAGGTGGTGCTACTGTAGAAGCCACTGTAGCCCGAACTACTGATTTGGCCTTTGCTCAACCCCGGCTCCATCTGCCTCTTGGGCTTGACTCCCTGCCCCACTCTGAGCCTCAGCACTGGATGCAGCTGGGGCCACTGCCTCAGCTCCAGCTGTGTCCAGAGCAGAGGCTTCATCCTGGGTCCTGTCCTCTGCTTCAGCTTGGACTGGTGTTGGGGGACTGAATTCTGGCCCAAGGTCGATTGTGAATCCGGCTCTTAGGCCGGCTCTAGCCCTGGCTCCAGTCCCAGCCATAGCCCGGTTTTTGGGCTTAGCCATTCTCTTCTTGGTCTGGTCTCTTCCCCTGGTGTATTTGTAGACACAGTACCAGGCACCAGCTCCAATCACTATCCCTGCCTCTACACAGCCAGCATCCCGAACGCGGCTCATGGTGCAGTGGGGTTATTCACTGATCCAGAGAGTGGAACTGGCTTGGTTAAGGTTACGGGATGCCTGCTCCTCCAGGTGAGGCTCTTCAGTTTAGGTTTACAAGTTCTGCTGAGGCTTAAGCAGGGCCTCCTGGGATCAAGATCAGTTTGCTTTTTCCCACTGTAGCGGTAGTTTCACAGAGGCCAAAAGGAAGACAGACCTCCAAGGATTCAAGGCTGTTTCTCCTTACTTCAGTTCAGTTAGAGCTTCATCCTAAGGACTGACTGAAGAGCAGAAATGCAGACTGCCGATTTTAGACAGTGAAAGCCCGAATTCCTTTTCCAGGATTGAAAAGACGGGGGTGAACAGCTGTGTGGGCCGGAGGTGTCTGGAAAGCAGTCTCCCCGCTGGCCTGTGCGCTGCCACGTTTATTTCTCTTCCCTCCTCTCACAACACAGGACTGGATGTGGGGTCGGGCCTGCCCGGATCTGGGGATATTTTCTCCTCCTCGCCTAGGTTAATCACAGGGCAGCGAGCTGCGCAATAGAGTTGGTACCAAGAGGAGCTCGAGCTTATTTAAAGAATTATGCTGGTCTTAAAAAAGACTTCTCTAAATATCACTATATTCCTATTCCCCATCCAGATACGTACAGTGCTTTCAGTCTTTAAGTAAAAATCTCTAAAAGAATTGCAAACATTTTAAACTCTAGTTAGAGAATACATCAATGAAGTAGTAACTGGGTGTTCCCCAATTATAAACTTGGCTCATTGTTAAATTGACCATTCCTCTTTCTACAGAGGAAGACAGTTATTGCAAAGAAAACTGTGCTTACTACACAAGTAAAAGAGACATTATTAATTCACCTCACATGAAAATCCACACAGTTTCAGAAGGAAGAAGGAAAAGAAATGAAATGGAAATTTTAATGAATTACTTCAACAGAAAAGGAACACCAGGCTGCTAAACAAACATAACTAATTATGATTACGTTTTGGGAAACCATATTAAAAACATAATATAAAGAAATGGCATGAAAAAAGAAAGATGAGAGCAAATAAAGAATCTTATTTGCTTATGCCTAAAAAATAAAATACATCAATAAACTAATTATAATTGAGATCCCATTATCAGCATTAAGGAGAAAAAATGAAAATATGAAAACGGGATGGAAAAAGTCTTACTCTTTAACATCTTTAAGCTGTTCAATATCCTGTACTTTGACATAATCTGGGTCATGTGCCAAAAGGTGAATTGTATATGGAACAACATACTCTGGTAGAAGAGACAATAATTTTTCTGAAAAAGGAAAAGAAAAAAAGAAAAAAGAAAACAGAAAAAAAAATCCAGGTTAGAAGCCAAATCTTACACACTCTTTCTTTCATACTATATTTTCTGCATCCCAACAGTTTACCACAATGATTTGAAGAAAAATATATTGAAATACCCTGTGTTGAGGTACATGATAAACAGTCTACCATTCATCCACCATGTTCAATACTGAAATGGCCTACTAAATACATCATGGGCTAAGGGTGAGAAAACAAATATTTCAGTTTTAAAATGCATATGGAAAAAGTGACCCAAAAAACTATATTCAAGAGTGAGAGATATAACATCCATTTTTCCCATTACGTGTGACCCTATGTTTAACAGTCTCTTATAAGCTGCTGAGCAAAACAGTAACATCTAATATTTTTCAGAGTCAGTATGGAACTAAAACAAGAGGTTGATACTATTTGAAACACAAGAACAGAATAAAGAAACAGACAAGAGCTTCTAGGGCATTTTAAATAAAGAAACAGCTATTTAGTTTAAATTCAATTATTTTTGTATATTGGCTGACAGTAGTATATTCTGTTAGAGAGGTCAGAATTATAATCCTAATTGGTTTAATACAGGGTACACACAGACTGGGTCTCAAATTCTGGACAATTTCCATTTATATTTCATATTTTCCAAATATAAATATAAATTGGATGTTTTAACCTCGGATATATGTGTCAATAAAACACCAAATTTTCTTTATTTCCATTGCTAAATCTATAGAGAATAGTTTGTGTGTAACGTCATTCATTTCAAGGCAGACATGGAAGGAAAAAAGTAATAGGGTTCAAAATTCAGTGAAATTAAAATTAAATTCCATCAAATAGCTATTGAGTGCTTACCATGTTCCAAGCCTATATTAAAATCTAAAAACATAAAGATGAGTAAGACTAGGTAAAGAGCTTACACTAAAGCATAAACAGAGGCAGAAGCTACACTTCAATGTGGAAGTGCACCAAAATAAGAATGGCTAACACATACTGAGTACTTCTTTGGGTCATACATTATGCCAGGCACTGTATATACTTTTTGAATTCTCACAACAATCATAAGCAATTATTATAATTCTACCAATTTTGCAAATAAGGAAACTAGGGCAAAACTGATTAGGTAACCTGCGAAAATACAACTGGTAAACAGCAGAGGCGGGATGTGACAACAAAACATTTTCCAAAGGAAGGAATGAAGAAAAATAAAGAGGTAACAGTGACATGGTAACCTCAAAAGTGTATTTTAAATGATTCAAAAGGTGCCAACCATGTTCCTTGGTTTTGTTCATTTGTTTGTCTGGAAGTGGGAAGCAATTTCCAGATAGAGTTGACAACAGAGAAAAAAGATTGTTACACAAATTTCAAGTAATCCAGAGTTCATGAAACACAGAGTGCAAAATAGGGAGCAGACAGAAAGTCTGAAACTCTGGCTGAGAGCAAACTATAAAGGGCTATGATAAGGCATTTCAACTTTATCCCATGAGCAACAGAGAATCAATGGAAATTTCAAGCAAGGCACTGATGTGATCTAATCTGTTTTAGAAGGATAATTCTAATAGCAATGTGACACAGCAGGTGGTCAGAGGCAAGGGAAAAATTACAACAGGGAGGCAATGTATACAGCAATCTAGGAGAAAATACAACAAGGTTGGAGAGTAGAAGATAAATGTTCAAGACATTTGGAGAAAGAATTAACAGAAGTTGGTGATGGATAAGAGAAGGGAAAAACAGTATGAATAATGCCTCTGATTTCTGACTGAAATAACTGGATGGATCTTAATGCTGTTTGTTAAACAAATCATCGAAGTCAAGAGGCATACCAACTAACCTCAATGGAGTAAAGTGAGTAGATGAAAAGTAGGCACACAAACACCTGATATTAATGTCAGCTACAGGTGAGAACAACAAAGATCAAAGACTTGTAATTTTTTTCAACTAAAAAAAGATCATGCTTAGACAATCTATATACATGTACAGATTTTATTATTCTATTAAAAGTACCTCTAATGTCATTGTTTATTTTCCTTGGCCTTTATTTCCTTTACATAAAGAGATATAGGTTGATATTTAAGTATCCATGCATTTATATTTTTTAATGTCCTTTATATTAAATGAAAAGCAGTTATCAAAAAATGGTAACTTAATGAGTGTCAATTACAAATAATAATTAACAGTAATATCATATATCATGCTATATTCTATAAAACTGAAACTAGGAGGCTGAAAAAGTATCCTTTTCATATTCTTATATGCTTACCACTAACAGCTGCATGCTGCTTCAGATACTCCCGCCTTACATTTATATTTTTCACCAAACATTGCCTAGCATGAGCTCTTCTCTCCTTTACAGGATCTTTTGCACAAAGTGCACAGATTGCCATATACTCAAGTGGAAGCCGTAAACGGGAAAGGCCTTTGTGAAGTTTCTGGGCAAACACTTGTCTTACTTGATAGCATTCATCCTGTAAAGACACAATTATTCCAGATATTATTCACATGGCAGCAAACAGTAACTTCAGATATAAAATTTGCTATTTTATAAAGAAACGAGTAAACAGTATCAAGTTTATCTAAAATCACTGCTTCACTGCTCATAAGAGTGAGGTGTTGTGACTCAAGGTCATTTCAAAGCTGCAATATTCATCTGGTACCAAACAGATGTGTTAAAAAAACATCTGACAAAGGGCTGATATCCAGAATTTACAAAGAACTAAAACAGATTAACAAGAAAAAAACAAGCCCATTCAAAAGTGGGAGAAGAATATGAACAGACACTTCACAAAAGAAGACAAACATGAGGCCAACGAACATATGAAAAAATGCTCATCATCACTGGTCATTAGAGAAATGCAAATCAAAACTATATTGAGATACCATCTCACGCCAGTAAGAATGGCGATCATTAAAAAATCTGGAGACAACAGATGCTGGAGAGGATGTGGAGAAACAGGAACACTTTTATACTGTTGGTGGGAGTGCAAATTAGTTCAGCCTTTGTGGAAGACAGTGTGGCAATTCCTCAAGGACCTAGAAATAGAAATTCCATTTGACCCAGCAATCCCATTACTGGGTATATATCCAAAGGATTATAAATTGTTCTACTATAAGGACACATGCACACAAATGTTCACTGCAGCACTGTTTACAACAGCAAAGACCTGGAACCAACCCAAATGCCCATCGATGATAGACTGGACAGGGAAAGTGTGGCACATATACACCATGGAATATTATGAAGCCATCAAAAACGATGAGTTAGTGTCCTTCGTAGGGACATGGATGAACCTGGAAACCATCATTCTCAGCCAACTGACACAAAAACAGAAAATCAAACACCACATGTTCTCACTCATAGGCAGGTGTTGAACAATGAGAACACATGGACACAGGGAGGGGAGCATCACACACTGGGGTCTGGTGGGGGGAATAGGGGAAGGACAGTGGAGGGTGGGGAGTTGGGGAGAGATAGCATGGGGAGAAATGCCAGATACAGGTGAAGGGGAGGAAGGCAGCAAAACATGCTGCCATATGTGTACCCATGCAACAATCTTGCATGTTCTTCACATGTACCCCAAAACCTAAAATACAATTTAAAAAAACAGTGAAAAAAAAAAAGAAACATACTTTTTAAAACAGAAAAAATACTAGTATATATAAATCCGCCCTAACTTAAATAAAATACAAAAATCAAGGCTTAAACACCAACTCATATATATCTTTTTCATTTTACAGGCAATATAAAACTGTCCAATTTATATTAGTTCTATCACTGATAAAAACTATTCACATGAAAATGTACAACTCTAGCTGGGCATGGTGGAACACACCTGCAGTCCCAACTATTTGGGAGGCTAAGACAGACATACCAAGATCCTGTCTCTTAATAAAGAAATAAAAAGCACAATTCTGAAGGTAAGAATTACTAATCCATTTCAGAAGCATCACGTTACTTCAACTTCTATAATTAAACCAGGCTGATTATTACCACCCATGTGCCTACTTAACTCACACTATTCCCCTCTCCTAAATTACCCACCCTACTCTCCGAGCTAACTCCTACCTATCCAAAAAGACAGCTCACATATCTGCCAGAAAGCAGTGTGTAATTTGTATCCAGCATCCACCTCTGTGCTCTTAGAATTCTGTACTAATCTCCAGAATAGCGTTTTGTATAAAGTATTAAAATGATGGGTTTAAATGTCTGTCTTACCCATCAGTACTTGTTCCTTGAAGAAAAGAATTATATCTTTATCTCTCTAAGCCTAACACAAAACCTGGCACACAGATGATCAGAACTTTTTCTGAACTACAGTAGTTCCCCCTTATCAGCAGAGGATACATTCCAAGACCCACAGTGGATGCCTGAAACTGAGGACAGTACCAAATCCTATATATACTATGTGTTTTTCTATACATATATACCTCTGATAAAGTTTCATTTATAAATTAGGCACAGCAAGAGATGAACAACAACTAATAATAAGATAGAACAAGTATAATATTATACTATCATAAGTGTAATGTGAATGTGGTCTCCCTCATTCTTAATATACCTTAGTGTGGAAAAGCAAAACTACAGATAGGGGAGACTACTGCATAGGGAAAAGTTCAAACTTTTCTATATGACCTACGAAGACC